AATGACGTCAAATTGACGTCATATTTATAGGAATGAGGCGCAGTACGGCCCCTGGGGTCAATACGGGCGTATTGAAGTTTTTGAACTTCAATACGGCCGTATTGAATTCAGTACGGCCGTATTGAAGTTCAAAGACTTCAATACGGGCGTACTGAGTTCGCCGCGGCCGTATTGCAGTTCAAAATACTCAATACGGCCGTAGTGAACCTCTGGGAGGCCGTATTGAGCTTCATTCCTCCCACTTTTCTTATTTTTGCTATCCTAAGACCTCTAGACCTACAGAGAACCCTCCTAGGGCCTTCCAGGAGTCCTTCTGGCTGATCTTCCTTCAGTCTTTGAGAGCCTTCTAGCTTTATTTTCGACCCGGACAATTTTAGGGGTCTACACCTAGGATGTTTAGGAAGTTTAATTCTATTTGGGTTATAGTGGATAGACTCACCAAGTCTACTCACTTTATCCCTATTAACATTAGATATTCGTTGGAGAGAATGGCAGAGTTGTATATTAGTGAGGTAGTGAGGTTACATGGGATTCCCTCTAGTATACTTTCAGATAAAGATCCTAGGTTTACCTTTAGATTTTGGGAGAGTCTTTATAAGACGTTGGGTACGAAGCTTAGGATGAGTTTGACTTGCCACCCGTAGACTGATGGTCAGACCAAAAGAACCATAAAATCCTTAGAAGACCTTCTTAGAGCTTTTGTATTAGAATAGGGAGGTAGTTGGGATAGTTGCCTACCATTGATAGAATTTACCTATAATAATAACTACCATTCTAGCATTGGGATAACACCTTTTGAAGCTATGTATGGTAGGAGGTGTAGGACACTTTTGTGTTGGATAGAACCGGGAGAGAACCTTATCTTAGGGCCTGAGGTTGTGCAGGAGACTATTGAGAAGGTGAGATTGATCTAGAAGAAGATAAGAGTAGCTTAGAGTAGGCAAAAAAGTTACCATGATAAGAGGAGGAAGAATCTTGAGTATAATGAACTTGATCACGTATTTTTGAAAGTAAATCTTTGGACAGGTATTGGTAGAGCTCTTCAGGCTCACAAGCTTACATCCCGATGCATCGGTCCTTATCAGATTCTAAAAGGGATCAATGAAATAGCTTACCAGATAGCCTTACCCCATAAACTAGCCAATCTTCATAATGTCTTCCATGTGTCTCAACTTCAAAAATATGTCCATGATCCGTCCCATGTCCTTAAGTCAGATGATATTCAGTTGAAGGAGAATCTTACTTATGAGATAGTCATTTTGAGGATTGAGGACAGGAAGGTTAAATGGCTGAGAGGGAAGGATGTTCCTTTGGTGAAGGTGGTTTGAGGAAGTAACGCTAAGGAGAGTGTGACATGGGAATTTGAAAGAAATATGCAAGAGGCGTACCCGATGTTGTTCACTATAGGTAATTTCGGGGACGAAATCCCTTGAAGGGGGGAGAGTTATCACACCCTAGGATTTTTTTAATAATTAATAATGACTAATTAGGGAGATAATAATGGTTTTACTTTATTTTATGGTTAATTGTTGTTCTTTTATTTGTTTTAATTGATTTAATCATTAAGAGAAGAATTAGATATAATTAAAGATAAAGGGGTTTAGAGAAATAGGTAGTTATTTATTAGAAGAGAGGCGGAGAAGGGATCATTATTTTACATCTTCACATTTTCTAACGCTCTGGTGCTCTAAAGCAAACACATCCAGAGAGCAAGGAGAAGAGATCATCAAAGAGGAGGCATGTCGCCACCGGCCCGAACGGGCCTCGGCGGTCGGGGCAGTAATAAGGAAGGAAACAAGCACCTTCGGGTACGCTCAGACTGGAATAAGCGACGTAATCACTACGATGCCAAGGAGGGGAATCACAGGCAGGCGGACTATGGCGGTCGGGCGAAGGGCGAGTGGACACGAAGCAACAAACAGGAAAAATTCACCCCACTCAATGTTCCCAGGAGGCACATACTCCATGACGTCAACAACGCGTCACTTTTCGAGTTTCTGGCGGCGACTGACCGCCAGTTAGGTCCCTACAAGACCGACTGGTGTGAGTTTCGTCGCACCCATGGACACACTACAGAGAATTGCTTTGTTCTCGGTAGGCAGATTGAGCGTCTTATCAAGGAAGGTTGCTTGAAGAAGTTCATCGCAGGTAAGCATGAGGAAGGCTCGTCGGACAGACGACGCAGACATGAGGGGGAAGATGCGAGGGGAGGAAGACGCAAAGGGAGGTCTCCTCCGAGAGATGTCCCGGAGAAGAGTTCAGAGACCCACCAACAGGCTGTTCATGGGGACTTTAACACCGTAGCGGGGGGATTCGCCGGAGGAGGTCCAACATCGTCAGCACGGAAGAGATATTCTCGCTCGGTGTTGTCGATCTCGGATTGGGTGAAACCATCTCGGCCAGCCATCATGTTCTCGG